GCAAAATATACACCGGTGGCGTCGAAGCATGTCGCGTGGCGGTCCGTTCTAGAGACGTTCGTCGAGTCAAAGTGCCGAGAATTTTGACGGGTCAGTAACTCCGAAAATATTTATGTCGTCCCCTACTATTCTTACTCCCGCGACATGGATATTTTCGGCTAATGTCGAGCAACCCTGGCTGCCGAACACCAAACTGTTTTCAAGCTTTTCCTTTAATTGCTGCGATCCGCCTTCAAAGGGACAGCCGGCCGGTAGAGCCCAAACAACGCGAAAAGAGGATCGAGATGCCGATCGCACACGATCGACGATCGCGTACACGTCTCTCAACGACCGAACCGTCGAAGTACATCCCCTCGAGCGGTGCTCGCCCCTTCGGACGATCCGGTACGTGACACACAATCGTTTTCAAACGCGATCCCTAAAAACAGAGAAACAGAAATGACTTCTGGAAAAGGGAGTCGGGATAAAGGTCGGAGGAGGAGGGTGTTTCGTTTCGGGAAATGAGAGGGCAGAGGCAGATGCACGGATGCGTGTCCCACGGGACACCATTGGCCGTGGGACACCGCGTCGAGTATGCAGTTGTCTCGAAGACGTGCCGATGTCCCAACGATGGGATCGCGGCGTTGCTGTATCAACTTCACCAAATGTCAAATTTACAGGGCCAGAAGAAATCTGTAACTTCCTGTGTTGGTCTTTTGGTCGTGCCGCTTCGCCGCGCGTCTCGAGACGGTGTCGACTGTTTTGAGATAGCGGCCATAAATCCACTGGGACTCCAGCTGTCCCCGCGATCGAACCACCGTTTAGCCATTAGGGACTGGAGAAACGAGGGCAAGAACAAGCAAGCTACTTAGCAAGTAGTCTACGAGTATACTATTCGGGGAGTCTTCTCCGTTTAACGCTCGAGGGGTAGGCGCACGTTTTCGATTACCTAACTTGGAGATTTTTCGATGCGGAGGGCTTTTGCCCACCCGTGTACCGATTTCATCCTACTTTACAATTTCCTTTAGGCCCGAGCAATCCGTCTAAGCAGCTGTTTGGATAGGTTTCAAGAGACAGCAACAGTCGAGCGAGACTAACACACAGAAAATAAGCGAGTATCGGTGAGCTTTAGCGTTCTTTATTGTCGCATAGCGCGATGAGACGTACTCGTTAATATGTATTGGGTTGTCCGGAAAGTTCGTGCCGATTTTGTAGGAAAATTAAAACGCAGCTCATTTAAATATTGGAGCCAAACTTCACAGTATGATCGCGGATGGTTGATCTTGATTTATTTAGCATTCCTGCTAATTGACGTAATGTTGAGCGTGGGTTATTCTCGATTTCTGTTCCAATCATATCTTCGTCTGTGGTGGACGGCCTATCTGGGCGTTCTTGATCTTCAAGGTCGAAATTTCCAGCTTTAAACCGAGCAAACCACTTCCGCACAGTTCTTTCGGCTACAGCATCCTCGCCATAAACAGCGCATATTTTATTTGCCGCTTGTGTGGCATTTTTGCCCTTTCGGAAAA